CTGAATTTATATGATTGTCTTTTTATTTATTCATGTTTTATTTTATTGGGCACATTGAAATGTTAAATGTTAAAACCATAAATAAAAATAATAATAATAAATAGAATTAAATGGCCATTTTACATGCATTTAACGATATGGCCTTAACAATAATCGGATAAAGGACCAGTGGTTATGGATTTTAAAACTATAAGGACGGGTAACATCAATTTTCAAAATGAGACTACAACTATATAAGTGCACTTATAGGGGTGCATATTGCTACCAACCAACCAAAAGTTTAATATACTGTATATGTTTATATTGTTTTAATAAAGAATATATGCTAAGATATTCTTCAATATTGAATGGGAACACGTTAACTTCGACATTAATGGATAGATTTTGCAGATCAAAATCTGATAAATGTGAAAATATGGTGAGCAAGTGGCCAGAAATGGAAGTTGGAAAGCTGAAAAAATCATTAGTGCCCGAGACTGAGAGTCTGAGACAGGGGGTATTGAATGTAATTCAACAACTCAATCTACCACTCCGACACACCCATCTGATCCTTTTACCAATTTTCTAAATACAAACTTATGATTTATGAATTACTTATTTTCATGACATTTCTAAAACTGGAGTGTACAGAAAAAAATCAAACGACAAAAAAGACAAAACTATATAAAAAAATTATATTTTGTCATTTTTTTTTCTGTTTAGTAATTCAGTTTTATTTTTTGTTAAAAAAGTCGTAGTTTTGGATCGCGACCATTATGACTTACAAATGTCGATCACACAATGTAATTTTAAAATCTGATGTTTAAACAAAAAATTTGGCAAAGGTCTTAAAAGACAATATTTTATTATTATTATTATTATTATTATTATTATTATTATTATTATTATTTATGATTAATATAATGAGTTACGACTTGAAAAATTACATTACTTGTCTAAAATATTTGATAGATTAGTGAGCAGTGGACCATTATTATCTTACAATCGATGTTTCACATTTTCTAAACTTTTTTGGCTTTTCATTTCGTTGAACTTTTTTTAAAAAAAAATTATCATATCTTGATATGCTTAAATGGTGATCTTAAACAAAAATCTAGATTGAAATAGGACGTTGGCGGGGACGAAGATATGAAGTTTTTTCACGGTGTTGTTAAAAACAACATGAGAAAAAAATATTGTCTTCATAGACTTACTATTGATGGCGTTTGAGTGAAAATCCGTCGAAAGTTATTGATGAGGTTTGAAGATTTTTCTCAAGTAAGTTCAGTACTAAGCCGATGTACAACAGACCAAAGTTAATTAGCTCGAGGTTTAAAATGATCTTGATCCCGGATAGAGAAAGTCTCGTTGAGCCATTCTTAGAAATTGAAATAAAATATGCAATTTGGTGTTGTAGGAATGACAAGTCGTCTGGTCTGATGGCTTTATGTTCAAGTTCTTGAAGCATTATTGGGAAATGATTAAATCGGATGTTATTATGTTATGTTTGTTAAGGATATTGGGAATTATGGGGTTTTAGCGAGATGATGCAACTCTTCTTTTATATCTTTAATTCCAAAAAGATAAGAGACCCGCTCTCTTTAAGAGACTATAGGCTGGCAAATCTTTTTTTTTTTTTGGAATGATAATCTAATCTACTCTTTAATTCAACATATGTCTACAACGGGACTTGAACCCTCAACCTCAAGGAGGGAGGGTACCACCTGATACCGTTGGTCTAGAAGCTCTTGATAGGCTGGTTAATCTTGTTGGTTGTTTATACAAGATGCTTTCTAAAGTTCTTGTTAATCATCTTACTAAAGTGTTAGATATACTTATTAGTCTTGAGAAATAGTGTATGTGGAAGGAAGAAGTATTTTGTATTGGCCAACTATTGCTTAATGGAGTTTTAACAAAGCCTTGGATTCTTTAAGTTGGAAGTTCTTAGATTAAGTTATGTAGCAAATGGAGTTTAGATAGAAATGGAGAAGGTCGATTACAGGATATATTTCTTCTAGTTGGGCATCCGTTTTAATGAATGCTTCCCCTACAAAAGAATTTAATATCAAGATGATGTTAGGTGAGGGGGTCCGTTATTTCCTTTTCTCTTTATAATTGTTATGGAGATTCTTCATGTTTCCATAGACGTGGCTTGTGATTAGCATTTCTTTTGAAGTCTTTCAATTCCTCATAATGATATCTCTATCTCTTATCTTATGTATACGGATGATGTTACTTTCATTAGGGAGTGGTCGAAACTTAATTTTGTAAATCTTAATTAGTTACTTCGTTTCTTTTTCCTTGCCTCGCGATTAAATGTGAATTTACATAAAAGCAAAGTTTATGGTATGGCCGTTGGTAACTTTGAGATTGATAGACTTGCTAGTGTTTTGAAATGATAGTCTGCCTCTTTCCCTTTCACTTATCTTGGTTTACCGGTGGGGATGAACATGAAGTTTGCTAAAAGTAGGGCCCTAGTGGTGGATAAATTTAGGACTAGCCTTTCAAACTGAAAGGTAAATCTATATCGTTTGGTGGTCGTCTTACTCTTATGAGTCAGTTTGGTTCTAAATAGTCTTCCGCTTTATTATTTTTCGTTGTTTCAAGCCCTAAGGAAGATTATAAATTCACTTGATAGTATTTGAAGATAGTTCTTGTTAGGAGGTGATGAAGACAAAAATAATATAATTTGATAGCTTAGGAGATTATCACTAAATCGAAAACCATGGGAGGCCTTAGTTGGTTGACTTGATTGGTTGATTCCATTAATTTAACTCTTCTTGCTAAATGGTGGTGTTGGTTAAAGAATAGGATTGGTTCCTTTTGGTTCTCATGTATCAAAAAGTTTTTTAATTTGAACACGACCGAACAAAAAGTTCAAATTACAATATTGCCCTTGATACAAAAAAAATATGTAGGTAAATTACAATATTGCCCTTGATAAAAAAAAAGGTTGAATTCAGATTCATATTTGAATGCAGATTTAAAACCTACTGTATAATGTATTTGTCAAAATTGGATATTTTTCAATCCCCAATTTGCTCATTACTCAATTAAGAGATGGGAGAACTCACCAGGATATTAAAGACCCTAATAGAATGACAACATTACCCCTACCAAAGTTGGTGAAAGATTTACAAAGATCGTTCTCACAACTTAGATCGGGTAATGAAAAACAGTGAATTACAATAGAATTGGCAATAAAGAATTTGCACTCAAAAGTGTTGATGAAGAAAATTGTACTAAATTTTACGATGATGAACCATGAATTGTAATGAAAAGCTGTAGAATTCGTTGACAAAGACGCCAATTGGAGTATACACCCTAGAGTAATCGGATAATCTTTAAATCTGACAAAAAAAAAAATAAACCCTAGAACCATGAGATTGAGTACGAACCTATTGAAATTCAAGAAAATAGCCTGAAATTTCATCCCGTTGCAAAGAAAACGGTATCTCTGTTATGTTGATGAGGAATTACGAGTTACACGTAAATGGCGATGAAATCTAGAGCAATACGTGAATGATATTCAATTCCCGATCAAAAGCAGGCTTCTCGACATGTATTCCCAACAATATATGCAAGTAATCAAAACTATCCACAATTTTTTTTTCAAACCCTAATTTTATATTCTTAACTCTCTACATTAAAGATCAGAGTGGAAACAGTTACCAAATTTAGTGATTACTTTAGTTGCCGATCCTGAGGTCGTGATCCAAGTAACGGAACTCACCCACCAAAAATCCATTATTATCAATCATAGCCGAGTTGGAAACATTTGTTGCCCTAATTTGTGACTCGAATTCGCGCTTCTTGGAGAAATAAGCACGCAGAGCAGCATCAGAGGAATGAAATTTGCCTAAATTGACACGCGAATTGGTGATAGGGTTTCGGATCCGAGCTGTCCACCTGCCATTCTTTCTCCAAACCCCTTTGTAGCGTTTCGTTGTGGATTTTGATTGATTTGTTGATAAAACGGTTTCGGTTTCTTCTGGATCATTCGGGCTGTCATTGTATCCGAATACGATCGTTACCGTTGTCGTAGCTTGTTCCCTCTCATTATCATCCTTCGATTCCATTAAAACAGTCAAAAAGAAACCAGAAAGAAAAAATTTGACCGAAAGAACCGATCTAATGGATATTGGGATAATTGAATGTTTGATTTACTATTTATGATTATGTATCTATGAAATGAATAAATCTAATTGGATAATATTGGATCTTGATTATCATCTAAGAATTACCAATCCAATTTGGGTAATTAAAATTTGAAACTAATGAATTACAGTTGAATTTGATATTGTCGGTCGATTGCAATATACATATCACATATTATTCAATCCTCAAGATATAAAATGAATCGACACACGGATCCAATCAGTCTAGTGAACTTTAAGTTTAGAATTTCTATCAAACAATCAAAACTATGAATGCATAATAATATTTTAAACGATGGCAAGTATAATTGGTTTGATCGTGTTTTTTTTTCGGAAAGACCAAATCTTCCAAATAAGTTGCAAGCAAACTTCCTCTAAACATATCCTTTGCACCACTTTATATACGACTTATTTGCCCATCTCATGCTAATTCAAATCGTATCAAGTTGAGGGAAATCCAAGTCTAACAATCTACCAATTTGAGTCCAAATCGATTAAGCCACTTTACAACTTAAACTTAATGTATCTATATATGAGAATCACAAACTAGACAAAAAAAAATAGAAGCTACATCCACTCCTCTCTTGTCCAAATTAGCTCTATTAGGTAATTTGTCCAAATAAAGTTTACATGCAAAGATGTTAACTTTAACTAGAACCAAATTATCACATTTTGTAGCCTCCTGGCCCACAACCAAATTAGCTTCATCAATATATCTTATAGCCAGCCCTACCCCGACCATACCCGATACATCAAGATCCGAAGACCATTTGTCTAATTGAGAATATAAAATTGGCCTATAAATGAATTGCACGAACATGAACGGACCCTTTTTAATGTTCGTTCGTTTAACTTTAAACGATAAACGAACAAACACGAACAAATTTTATGTCTGCGTTCTTTAAGAAATCCAGTCTGATCGTGTTCGTTTATGTTCGTTCTTTTAATTGATAAACGAACATAAATAAATACAAACACAAACAAACTTAAATGAAGATTATTGAATATTAAAAAACATCAATAAACGAAAACAAACGAACTTAAATGAACATAAACAAACAAGCAAATGCAAGCCAACATAAACAAACACAAACACAAAAAAAAAAAAACCGTGTGTGTGTGTATATATATATATATATATATATATATATATATATATATATATATATATATATACACCATAATTAATACCATAGTTAATGTTTAAAAAACATAAATGATAATTAAAATACAAATAGTTTTGCTTTTAGATAACGTATTTGCTTGTAACGAATTTTAATACTAACTCTAATGAATTGTCTAACATCATGAATATGATTATTGTTTAAAATCGTACCTAGATTATTAGGTTTGTAAGAATCTTTGAGATTTTGCTCAGAATTATTTATAGATTCTTGGATTTGTTGTATTTTTAAAAGAATATCTCTATTAGGAATACAATTCATCAAGATTTTGTTAGACATAATTAAATAATTCAAGCATGAATTTGAATAATTTGATTATTAAAAACGAGTACTATCTTAACAAAAATTTCAAATCTTGTGGAATTAATAGTTAGAACAACTCGAAATGAAACTATCATCGTCAATAAAAGCAATACAACAATTGAATAAATATTTTAGATATTACCTTCTTGAATTAAGCTTGAATTACAATTAGTACATACATCTGGAGAAAGAATTATCTGAAAATCTAGAGACTTTGAACATCTGCTAGTAGAAAGAGAGACTCTTGGAGATTTTTTAGACATAGAATGAACATTTTTTAGAGAATGAATATTTTTGCTTGTTTTTCTTTACTAACACATGATGTCTATTTATATTCCTCTTGAAGTCTTCAAAACCTTGAAATCTTGTAGTGAAATCTTTGTATGATTCAATGGCCAATCAATTATTTGTAAGTGGTTGTCACTTTCATATTTTGAAGAAATTGTCTTTTGTAATCAGTAAATATTACCTTTTGATAAAGCATATCATCATAGAGCATCTTCTAAAGTTTTTTGTCTTCATATTATCCATTATGGAGCATCTTGTAAAGTTTTTTGTCTTCATATTATTATTGCTGATAAGACTAAATAATTTTGATAATAAATTTGATAATATTTGTTTTATACACTATAAATACATATAGTGTATAATTACACAGTATATACACACTCGTATTTGAAAATAATGGATTTGATAAATAGAAGAAACGAAATACCCTACATTGAAGGTATTACACCAAATTTAAGAATTTCTTATTCTTCATAAGGATCATCAAAAGGGTCTTGAGCGTCTTGAAATAAACCATTCTTTATAGATTTTGGAGAATCGTCAGAAACTGATGGAGTTTGGCGAATTTCTTGAAGTAAGTTTTGAAGTTCTTCAGGAGAAGATGTAGCAGCATCTTTAATTCTTGAAATTAAATCCACATCACTTTGAGGAAGACTTTTGATAAAAGTGGCTTCAACCTCCGATTTTTGAATATATATTTCTTGATAATATTTAATTACTGCTTGTTCACTGGCTTGAGAAATCTTCATTTTATCCCACCATTTTGAGCGAAATTGTCGATTAAGCCAGGGAGGAGAGGTATCCTTTGCTTCTTGATAATGAAAAGTCCAAGACATTATCCATGGAACTCTGAATATCATAGTGAATTGTAGCATATATTCAAATTCTGGAATTTGTTGAATAAACAATTCCTTAAATTTGAGATATCCATCGTAAATTTCTTTTGGTAAACAATTTGGAAGAATTCTCATATATTTATACCAATTGATAAACCATCTTGGGTATTCACAATTGAAGTTTAAATCAAAGAAGATAAACCATGAGTGTGAATAATTTCGAATAAAGAACGCCTTAGTCCAGGCATCTTGATAATCATAGTAAGAAAAACTGGGATAAGCAGGATAACTTATAAGAGGTTTTTCAGAATGAAGGTTTGGAACCCAACTTTCTGGAGAAATGATTTTGATGATGTGAGCTTTGCTAAAATCAATGTTTCCTTCTTTTGAATTAGAACGATGAACAAAATTGACCGAACCAGATTCTTGCAAAATAGCTTGATAATATTCTCGAGTTTTATATGAATCAACATAAAAGGTTTTCCCTTGACCAAAAAGATGATTTGTGAGAATATGAAAACCTTGATGTAACTTATGGATTTGAAAATCTTCAAGAATTTGAACTCTTAAGAAATTTGGATTAAGAACATAAGGAGTTTTTGTAGGAGGGCTAGGAGTCACAGAATTTTGAGTTTGAGGAGTAAAAGGTCTTACAAAAGGGCTTATCGTGTTTGTTGAAGTAACTTTTGAAGTAACAAGTTTTGATTGAAGGATATTAGAATAAAGTTGTGAATTCTTAGAAGTAGGGGTTAAAGGAGAAAAACGATTTTGATTTTGAAATGGAACAAGCTTTTGATAGACGGGTTTCTTGTCATCATGTTTGGAAGAGGACGATGAACTCATTTTCCCTGCAAAAATTCTCGAGAAAGAAAGTCAGGAAGCGAATTATTTTCGCCTTTTATGAATTCTATTTCGAAATCAAAGTTACCTAAAAGGGCTTGCCATCGAGCAAAAATTTGTTTGGAAATAATATTTTTCACATCCTTTTCTAAAATAGTTTTTGCAGATTGACAATCTATTCTTAGTAAAAAACTTTTCATAAATAAATCATCTTTAAATTTTTTAATACATAAAACAATGCTTAAAATTTCTTTTTTGACAGTTGAATAATTTTTTTGTGTATCATTCCATGCACCAGAGTAATATCGAACCAATTGTTCTTCTTTTGAATTAACAAATTTTTGTTTTAGAATTCCTCCGAATCCAATATCACTAGCATCGGTTTCAACTATGATATTGGCATTGGGATGAGGTAAATTTAAACATGGCAAAGTAGGAACCTTTTGTTTTATATATTTAATTATATATGTATGTTTTTGAGTCCATGGTTCAGGATTATCTTTTAATCTGTTATAAAGTGGTTTACATATAATCCCTAAATCTTTGAAAAAATCATGGATATAATTTAAGCATCCTAAAAATCTTTGAAGTTGCTTTTTATCCTTAATTTTATCAGGAAATTTAGTAGAAAACTGCAAACTTCTTGTAATAGGTCTAATAGTGTTTTTGACAATATCATGCCCTAAAAAACGAATTTCATCTTTAAATAAATGCATTTTTGCTGCAGAGACAGCTAAACCATTTTGATAAATTAAATCATAAAATTGATTTAAATGTTTGAAATGTTGATCAATTGATTTTGAAAAAATTAGGACATCGTCAATATAAGCAATAGCAAAACTATTTATAGGAATTATGATATCATTCATAATGTTTTGAAATTCAGAAGGGGCATTTTTTTAATCCAAAAGGCATTACATTCCATTCAAAATGCCCGAAGGGAATATTAAAACCAGTTTTGTATTTATCTTCCTCATGAAGTTGTATTTGCCAAAATCCTGATTTCATTTCAAACTTTGAAAATATATTTGAATCATAAATTTTTTTAGCAAATCTCGTTTATTAGGAATAGGATAACGAATCCATTCTAAAACTTTGTTTAAAGGTTTATAATTGATAACTAGTCTTGGTGATCCTCTTTCTAATTCTGCGGCATTCATAACATAAAATACTGAACAAGACCATGGTGATTTAGAAGGTCTTATAAGTTTTTTATTTATTAAATCTTGAATTTCTTTTTTACAATGACTTTCCAGTTCACTATTCATGTGAATGGCTCTAGATTTTGAAGGAATATCTTTTTCATCAAAAAAATTTATATATGGTAATTTTACAATATGTTGTTTTCTATTCCAAAAGGCATTAGGAATATTAGAACATACATTTTTTTCAAATTTTAATTTTAAACCTATTATTTTATTTTGAATATTATTGTCATTTAATTGATTAGTTATTCGAACATTATTGATTT